AATTATGTGGATAAAATTATTAACCATATCATTTATTTTTGTCCAGTTGTCAATCTTTTGTGTGAAAATTTTAGACACATAATGCTTCTTCTGTCAATTAATGTGGAAAATTTAACGGAAGGATCAAGTTGGGGATAAAATCGTAAACAGTAGGGACTAAATCATGGATTTTTTGAGTTGAGAGACTCAATTAAGGCTCCATACAATAGTTGAGGGACCAAAATGGAGGTTTAGCCAATTAAGTAATATGTTAGTACATGGTGTGCACGAACATAAAATAAGAAATAAAGGGAGGGAAACGGAAAAAGAAATTATACCATCATATTGGCTATCAAAGTATTCATGAATGTTCACTTAGCACATATTAAATTTAGGAAAAGGAGTTTGTTGTAAATAAATTAGGAAAATATTTATTAATAAAGTAATAACAAAAAGAGTTTTGAAATTTATAAAAATAATTAATTTTAAATAAAAATAATAATAATAACAATATGAAGGACGAAATAAACAAATTGAATTGAGAGCGTAAGGAACAAATAGCACAAAATTAAGAAGTGGTAAAGGTGTATCTATAATGGTTGGAAAAAGGTGTATATATATAATGGCCTTGGCCAATCAGTGGTTAGAGTGGTAATATCAGCAATATAGTCATTGTTGCTAATTTTTGGTTGGTAAAAATATAAAAATAATAGCAACATGGTATATGTTGTTAATACTTTAGGTGCTTGAAAACTTTTCAACAACAAAAACCATGTTGTTAGAAGTGGAGCTCACTTTTAGGTGGATAATGTGCAGTATACGGTGGCTGGAAAATTTCAGCAACATATGGTATGTACCCCTTGTTGTTGCTGAAAGTAGAGTAGTTTTTTAGGTAAAAGAGTGTACTATATAACTTTCAGTAACACAATTCTTGTCGATAAAAATCTATATTACTGACAAGGACACCCATAGTGCTAATACCTTATTGGTAAATGTAAGAATTTTAGTAGTGTGTTATGATATCTTGATTCTTGTGCCTCGGTTACCTGTTTCTGTCGTGGGGGTTTGGTCTCCTATTCATGCTCTTATGATCCTCTCAGGGAGGAGTCTGAGGGAAAGTTCAAGGGGATTTTGGGCTACACTGAAGATGATCATTCCACTGAAGATGATCATGCCAGAGACTTACTTGGTGACAGAAGGTAAATTGAAAACAAAAATTCCACTTTCATCTTAGCTAGTTTTGATCAGGACAGTGAATCTTTCAGAACATAAAAGAACCAAATATAATCGGTCTATTCTGGGTATGATTTTGATTTGCAGAATTATGCTAATTCGAAAGTTTTCTGCTGAATGCAGGTCAAGCATTTTCAATGCCATGCCCACTGCTTGTTCTGCTTTGGACAATAACCATTTCAAATTCATCTTCCACTGTGACAACCAGTGGGGTTACAGGTAATATTGTGAGCCATAGCTTCACATCAACCTGAATCCGTTGATTGCACATTCTAATTTACATTGGGTAATTGAGGTGCTGCTATATGACCCCTTTGCCTGTCTGGTTTTGCAGCTGTCGTGTAATTGACTTGATTCTCCATATGGACTCTGTCCAAGCTCAAAGCTAAACTAATTTCAGGCGATCAATATTTCCCGTTGCCGCAAATAAACCTAGATGTTACTTATGACGACCTTTATGTTATGTTTCTAATATTTCCATAGGAAATACCGTATGCTCATGTTGAACTTACTTCCGAATTTTTTGAATTGTTTTCCCCTTTTTAGTACCACCAAATTTGAAGCGGATCTGAACATCGTATAGATTTTGGTTGAACTAATTATATTTTCTATGCTTTTATTATTTCGGTATTTTATTTTCTATGGTACCTTTGCTTTTTGTACTTTTGTATTTGGGGTGGTTCTGAATCTGAACTAAATTTGAGTTAGAGAAGGTTTCATCCAGGAAGAGCATAACCGAATGTAGTGAAGGGTTACAGTTACAGGACAGGCATTAATATAACAGAGTCAACTCTAGAGAGGACTATTAATCAGAATCAGAATCAGAAATCAAATCTGCATTATGTAACAGCTTCAAAATCTAAACGCGAAGCTCATAGGGGAAAAACTTCCAAGGATTAAGCACTTCTTTGGGCTGGCTTCTTGGAAGTATTGATTCGACGAACTTTTATGAATGCTTTTCCTAATTCCTGAACACATGAAATATGAGCCTAGTTAACAGATCTTCTAATCATAAGAAATTAACAAAAAGAGATGCTCAAAGCGATTTATAAATTTAGAAGTATTATTGAGATGATAGGTTATTTTGACCAATCACCTGCCGCTTACCCAAGTGCATTCACCTAAAAGATTTCCTTTCTAATCTAGAGAATGAGTCCAATAAACTTTTCATCCCTACAGTAATCAGAAACTTATTCGGTAGACTAGAAATCGCCTGAAAATGGTGACTTGAAAGCATCATGCCATCATCTTTTCTTTATTTCCTTTGTCCATTATTTCTCTTTATCTAGTCAGGCCTATAGGAGATACATAGTAGGAAGTAAAATCTCAGTCATCAAGCTTCTACTCTTCTAAAAACCAGGCATTATTGGTAATATGTTGGAGAAACAAACCACTAAAATTCCGAGCCATCAGCAGCCAACTTTAAATAAACATTCAAACAAGCATAAAAAATTTATAAACTCATAGAAGAACTATTACCTCAGTTGGTTCCTTCTGAGTTGTTTCTGTTGTCCAATGGTTTTCCAAATTGTAATAAGCTCTAGCCTTCTCATCAGGAGCATGAACCATTACCCTACCTATAGAAAAGAAAAGAACTCCAAAAATAAGCAAGGTGTATAATTTCCATAAACCTTTATGAGAAATGACTATGTCAATGATCAGATAATTATTCCACAAAAACTTGCATTTGAAAGTGGCTTTCATGTGGATTACAATCAGGATGATCAGGAAATATTCTCGGAGGGCCTTTTCCTTTGGAAAAACCTTGACCAAATTTTTTTTTTTTTAATCTGCAAAACCTTGACCAACTCGAAGTTGTAATAAGAACAAAGCACTAAAATTAGCAGTTACATAACATTTCAAATTATTTTCTTTGAATTCAAAACTGTATCTTTTATGCTACAATTCAGCGAGTATTAATGCAATTGATTATAGACAACAGATAGACAGTTATGTAGAAAATAGTACACACCAGAGTCAATAACAATCCATTTTCCGTTTCTTGCCCTTCTACACTGGGTTGCACCAGCCGCTTAGTTCCTTTGTATGTATTTTTATTTTTATTTTTTATTAACTTTTTAATATCTGATAATTACATTAAATTCTGATTAATTTAAAATCGATCCACGTTAGTTTTCATAAGAAGAAAGTTTTGTATGTTTTTTCATTTATAAAACTTGAACTCAAAATTTTGTTTAAAGAAAATCAAATTTCTTCCGCTCAGACCAACAAGTTATTGATAGTTCCTTTATATGTATTAATTATACTATTCACTCATCTCTTGGTAATATTTAAACAAGACCAATACAGACTAAGAATGCATTTGAAGCCTCGTAAACGGTAGGAAAATAAGTGAACGGCATGAATAAAAGACAAAATAAAAAAAAAAAAGATTTATACGTATAAGTGGTTAAGAGTTTTTTTTTTTAACAAGGAATCATGGGGTTTGAACCCAATTCGAAGGGGAGGGGGACTACACCGTTACAAAATAATAAGAGTCACTTGGTCCAACGGTCAAGTGCATAAGTGATTAAAAGTTTCAATTTTCATGTTATAAAATTTTAAATTTAAATTTTAAGATTTTTATTTTTGTTATATAATTTATTTTTTAATTTAAATTTTGAGATTTTTATTTTTGTTATATAATTTATTTTTTAATGTGCTTAAAAGATGATAGTATAAAATATGTCTGT